ATGTATGTATGTATGTATGTATGTATGTAGTTCCTTTGTTGTTTAATGTATTTATGTATTAATGTAATGCAATGCAATGCAATGCATGTATGCATGTATGCATGTATCTATACATATTTATTTAAACACACACACACATCAAGTCTACTCGTTTTTTTCAGGGCGATCCAGGCGGCAAAGGAGACATCATCAGTTGAGATTCTCCCATGTTGGATTTTCTGGGGAGGCCTGGCAATAGTTGTGGCGAAAGCTGCTTTCTTTGAAGTGGGTTGCTGGCGGAAAGCATGGCAAAGCTTCCAAGCTTTGGCCGCAAACTTCTGCATGAACATGATTGGCATGCCGTACAGGTTTCAAACGTGTAGCACCAAAGAATCCCTTCCTCTTTGCCCCAAATATCCCCAATTGGGTAATGACACGACGATTAATTATAGTTATAGTGGACCCCTCAAGTAAATGCACAACATGAACTGAAGGATTGAACCCTTGCCCTGCTGGCCACTGCTGGCCGCCAACCCAGGAACTTGCGCTCCTCCATCGAGGGCGAGAGCTTGCTATTGCACAAGGAGCAGTAAGATCAGCAAAAACGCCCAATCGGAACACCCCGTCTCACATTGAACAGGGCTGCAGGGCCCCTTTTGGTTTCGGTGCTTTGAAAAAAACTGCGGAGACCAAACATCACGTGTTTTGAGGGGCGGGCAAGTTTGGATGTTGCCATGACAGGGGCGGTTTGTTTTTTGGAGATCGAAGACTTTCTTGCATTTCGGGTCCACAGCAGGATGAAACTGCTGGACCCACATAACATGCCGCGCGCTTTCGGGGTGTCCAGCAATGGTAACAAAGAAGAAGCGTTCAAGAAACATGTTCATTCTTATTGAACTCTCTTTCATGGCATGGGTGTTCTGTTCATCCTGAAAAACTGCTTGCAAGTGTCGATAGATGTGGCCTGCAGGTGTCGGACGCGCGGGTGGCCGTCCTTCGGTCCACTCAAGGAGTTCGTCCAATCCTTCGGGGCGCTTGAGAGGCGGACAGAGCGGGCTTGCACTGGCGGCGGAAAGAGCGGAAAGTCTGACGGATCAATTCGGATGGAGGAGTGGATGGTGTGAACGCCAATGGACGCTCATGTTCTCTCATAATTCTGAAGATTGGTCTTGACTGGGGGCCCCGGGGGTCTTCTCATTCTTGAGACAAAGCACAATGATTGTGAGAGTTGGTCTGAAGGCAGCTTGAGAGTCTTGATCACCTAGTTGGAGAGTTGGCCGGACACTCAGGAAGTGGGTTTGTTGGAACAAGTTTCCTACAACGAGATTAATTTCCCAGACGCGTTTGGCATCTTTTGTGATACAAAAGTGACAAGTTCACACTGTGTAGCCAGTGACCGAAAACGTGAGTTGTTTTTTTGCGGAAATGTTGTTGGAAGGTCAAGTATATGAGCTGAGTGTAGCAATTCCACCCCGTGCTTTCCACGGCATCACCTCCTCCCCGTGTTTGGAAACACCACCATGTACAGCTTTGACCATACCTTGAAGAGGTCGGTCTCCGGTCGTTTTGAGGGCACCACCGGGTGCGGGGCGGCCGTTTCTTTTTGCTGCTGCGTGTGCAAAGGATGGTGCAGTGGAGCGTGCTGCCAGCCAGCTGAAAGCCAGCAGATCAGAGACTCAGGCAAGCTGGTGCATACAAGCCAATACAAGCAAATGGGGAAGGGATGAATCAGGTAGGAGGATTTACAGTGAGATTGAAACGTTTGGAATATGGATTGGAATGAAGTGCACTTCTTGACTCTTGCAAACTCTTGCAAGTTTCATGCTTGACATGTCGTCTCTTCAGCTGCTCCAGTTGAATTACAATTCGAACCCTTGAGTCGTTTGGAATAGATTCCTCTCCACAACCAAGCAATTCGAAGAACCAGTTCCTTTGCCAGGCAAGCCTTGAAAGAGCCGCGGCACTTCGCAAGGAGACCGACCCCTGCGACCAGTCAGGATGACTGCGGACCAGTCCTGGACCACGGACCTCACACGTCACACGTCGACCAGTCCTGGTGTGGTTTTCCATGCCCTGACGGACTGTGGTTTAACGGCTGTGGTTTAACGGCTGTGGTTTTACGGCTGTGGGTCATGGGTGAACCGATTCCTTCTGAAACTGTGTTCGGGAAGGTCCACCTGTCTGGCGTGGGGGAGGGGCCATGACTGGGGAAGGTGAAAAAAGCCATGGGCCATGAGCTTTTGACAGTGGCTTCAGAGTAATTAGATGGCACAGACACCATGATGTCCTTCAGGAGGGAATTCCAGTTCCATATATACCACGACTGGGGGCCCCTGTGCCATCTACTCTCAATCCACTAGAAATGTACGGAATGTGTTCATCTACCCAAGCCCAGGCGACTTTCACAGGACGGTTCTTCTAGAACGAAGGCTGAATGTCAATCATGTTTTTGGGGACCTTAAACGGCCCAAGGGGCTTTTGTCTATGCACCATCTTCTGGTGGTCTTTGCAGACTTTAGGTTACAGAGTCATGAACATCCATCCATCCCTCCCTCCCTCCATCCATCCATTGGATCCATCCATCTTATTGATCCCTTGGTCAATATGCAAGCTTCTTTGTCATGTCGGACTGGGCCGATCCGACACAGGAGGCGGTGTCCATCAACTTGAAGCAGCAGGCCTGCGGCCTGCGGCAAAAAGCGATGAACAGTTGGAGAACAGCTCAAAGAACATCGCGCATATCATGGGTTTCACCCATGATATGCGGGTGAAACTATGCGAAACTGATGAAGCTAGGCACTAGGAGGCTATGAAAGAACGCTGAACAAGATGCGAAGAAAACAAATGATAACAGAAGAAAAACGCAGTGCCTCAGGGTTTTCTTGTAAAGCTGCATTCAGCCTTCTTTCAATGTGTTTTTCTCAGCTGTTCCATTTGCTGCCTTTTTTCGTAACCTTGTGCTTGCCTTACCTGTCTTTCTTCAATCGGCTTGTTTTGAGGCTCTCTAAGGTAGCTTACCTTCTGTGCCTATTGCTGATGACTTATCTCCTGCCATCTCCTGCCCACTTCGGTAAACTCCTGAAACTTCCTAAGCCTTACAGAAGGCAGAAAGGTCTCATGTGGGCACCATCAATCATTGCATTCAGTCATCTATGTCAATGTCTTGTCATACCCCTTGATATGTCCACTACAAAATCGATGTACCCACCCCCCCCACTTAATTCAAAGGGGTATGTCACGGTATGTCTTGTCTGGTTCTAGTGGTTCCATGTCCCGTTCGGAAGCGGAGGAATCCGTCGACCGATCCCAAGCGGTCGACCAGCGGACAGGTCCTCGACCGATTCCTGAACCGCTTCCGCCTGTCGGAGGCGGGGCTTCCGCGTGACGCGGAGAGGTCCAGGTCGCGCCGCGAGGTCCCAAGCGTTTTGGACGTACCGCGAGGGATGGCAGAAAAGCCCATATATATATATAATATATATCCACTGTACTAGAGACGCCTGAAGCAAAAGAGAACACATCCTTCCTTTTCTGGGGGGGAAAGGGATGGATTCATGTAACAGCAGCACCATGGGAAAACGAGCCCCGTGTCAGATGTTTGTTCGCGTCAATGTCGCGATCTTTTGCATGACCAAACCCCATGCCGGGCCTTACCCTGCCAACTTCCTGCGGTTTGTGCTCTCGAGATAGGCAGATACCCAGCTGGTGCGGTCTGGAGATAAGCCTTTGGATGATGACTTCTTCTCCGCCTTCGAGCGCCTGGAGCAGGCCGATCCTTCCCGTTGTCCAGGTGACGGAGCGGAGCGGAGCGGGGGCGAGCACGGCGGCCGGCTGGCGCGGCCAGCTGGCGCGGCCAGAGGTTCGAGTGATGGCACAGCATTAGAGAAAGATGTTCAATGAATAGAGTCATAGACTCTATGGATCTCTATGGATCTCTATGGTTGTTGAAGCTGGCCACCATCGCCCGAAAAAAGGGTACATCTCCAAGCCTCGTGTTGCTTTAAACAACAATCGGACCACTCAGTTCGGGTGGCTAGATGTTGATACACCCCCCTATATAAACCATGATATGTTGACCATCCAACCATCAAACAACTGGAGTCTTCTGAAGCCCTCCACCCTCTACAAACCAGGGACCGCTGGTTTCAGACCAGACCGCTTCCGCCAGACCGGACTGGGTCAGACCGGTTCCGGGGTCCGGTCCGGGCGTGGTCGGAACCCCGTGTGGTCGGATCGAAAAAAGCGCAGCATCATCCGTTCATCCTTTTGGACCGTCCCGTTGAAAGGCAATAGCTTTTTTGTTACTACTAGTAAGGCACTTGTTACTACTAGCGAGGCACTTGTTACTACTTGCAAAATGATACAGAATGATTGATAGATTTTGATACAGTCTGAATGATACCTACTAGCCTACCTACTAGCCTCTCATGATAGATATTGATAGATGTTTTTTTTAGAATGATACATACCGGTATTTGACACTACATCGCTAAGGCTAGTGTGCTTTCAGGCAGCGGATCTTTTTTTGAGGCTGCTAGCCTTGATTCATACCCCCCACAAGTTGAAACCATGCCTCCAAAATGCACTTTGCAGATTGTTTGGAACACGAGGGTGTGCAAGATCTTCAGTTGCTGAAGTACCTCAGTGACTTTTTCCATTTGGTAAGGTTGGGATGCGTTCTGTGCTCAAGGTGTTTCCACATTCTCCAACAGCGCAGGTACGAGCGAATGCTAGACACATGTGGGAGCCCGAGCGACACGCGCTTCAGCTGTTTACACACATGGACACACCGCATGGGGCCACTGCCATAATACTGTATAAATTCTAGACATCAGGTTCTTGACTTGTCAATGGCTCAATGCCAATCCACATCAATCCACAAGTACAGACGTTTGTGACCTTTTTTCAAACAATGTTGTTGATTCTGAGTCAACAGTCAGCGCATGTCACGGACCTCTCCCAACTGTTCAGCACAAGAGATGTAGGCTCAGCACCAGCGGTCAGCAGACCTCAGGAGTCGAAACCTCAGCACCAGCGGCGCGCCGTGCGTCGGTGCCGCCGGTGCGACCACTCCGGATCACTCCGTGAGTCACCGAGGTGGACATTCTGCATGAGACCTCTGAAATTCTCGAGGTGCTTTTGAAAACCGCACATGGTTTGCATTCACCATCATTCACCTCTCAGTTTGCAAAAAGGACAAGTTGGACGATACTCAGATTGGAAACAGTCAGACGAAACTCACCCTGTGGAGGCATCCTATGAGCGCATGTTTGTTTGGGCCAGCATCTCAGGTTACCGACACCCCCGGAGTTCACCTGCCGGACTGACACCGCGGCACCGAGGGGTACGGCACGCACAGAGACCCAGGTCCAACAACAGTGCCGCGGACCACGAGACGCAGCAGTGGCTAAGAGCACGTGGGGCGACCCAGGCAGCACATGGCGGAGGGAAACCGAGGGAAACCGAGGCAGCAGCCGCAAGGCGCCATGCCGCCCGGCATTGCGCCATGTATGGAGCCTTTTGTGGGATTTGGGTGCAAGATGTATCTGTTTGCAACTGGGTGGTGTTTATTTAAACTATTTTGGAGTTTGCATCTTCTACCAAGTGTCTTAGAGTTTATGTACTACAGGCGATGTGTCATGCTCAGGACATGCAAACACGTATGATGTGTTGTTGTTTTTGTTTGTTTTGTATTGTTTTACTAAAGACGGTCGGATATATAGTGATACTCAATGGTTTATATCGATAATAAATGAAAAATCATCGTAAATACAGCGGTTGTGGCTTTATGATTACATTGAACATTAGTAAATAACACATATCGACAGATTTGACAGCGCAAAGGTTTAATAATTAAATAGCACACACACATTCGATAACTGTATATTGCGTAATGCTGTAGATGTACTACTAAACTATACTAACTGCTAGCTGTTCATGTACAAAGTGGCTAGAGAAGCCTTAGTTATACAGATAAATAATGGATCTAAATGAGCAAAGAATGATATAAATGGTTTTCTCTGTGCGAGATGCTTTAAGAAATGAACGAAACAATTGTAGAACTTGTAGGGTCAATAGAAAACAAAATCAAACTAATCAAACCATATAAAAACACTATTTTCAGATGATATTGTGCAGGTAGTTTGTAGTTTTAATGTTTGTAATAGATGCATGAAGACAATGGACACACGAAATAATGAGCCTGAAGGACTAACTGAAGAACAATTAACATTTGGTACTTTGTTCAGTTCAATCCATCACTGTCAAGAACGATCTCTTGAATAAACCTTACCTGTTATTATTTATCAAAATACAGACATGAACATATTTAAGCAGTGGTTTGATGAACTGTGGTTTGAAAAACACATAGAAAGCAACAAACATGCTCAGAATAATGAATATTATCAGAATACTAGTCAATATACTGTACATGGTCATAAATATAAGAATTAAAAAGGTAGAATAGGAACATATATTTTATGAATATTCATTTAGAGATAGTATCGTTGGATACTTAAATTGAAATACAACAATTTTACTTGTTTACAATGTCATTACCTAAATACCACAATCCTAATGAAAAAAGTATGTTTTTCAAACCATAATAAGATAAATATGTTTTTGACTATAACAATGTATTAATATGTTATGTCATTGTTTTCAAGTTGTTGTTCTTGTAAAGAAAGGACTACGTTTAAAAGAAGTATAGTATATAATGTAAACTTCTATCACATGACATGAGGTAGCAGCATGTGAGAAACAAGAAAAAGGTGTACGCTCACAGCGTCCTGCTCTCTTTCCAAAGGGGTGCCCACTCACTTGCCCCTTCTCTTCGCTGCCCATTCACTGGGATGGGACAGAAAAAGGCTTTGAACCCAAAGAAACCCGCCCACGATCCGAGCTGCCGAGACGGATCCGATGCGTCCATTGGGGGGACGGGACAGAGCGACCCGATGTGCCCCGGGCCCCGGGCCGGATCCGTGTGGAGCGCTTTCTTCGTTTTGGACGCGCGGCTCCACACGAGCCCCATCGATGCATCGGCTGGAGGTCTGCAGAGTTGGACACTCCTGCAGGGAACGTCCTGAAGCGAGTCTTGAAGCCTGAGACTTAGAGTCCGAGGGCTAGGGCGATCTGAACCGAGGAACTAGAGATAAGGGTAGTAGAAACTACGAGGTCAGAACTGTGTTGTCATGACAAAGTCTATGAAAGCCGAGAAATCTCAAAAGTGAAGATTGTATTTTCATCCTCAAGTAGACAAAACTGTATGATGATGTGCGGGGTATATGACAGAATGATACGATTGTTTTTTGGAGCCACAAGCGATTGGTGAGGCTGCTACGCGAAAGACCTGTCTACTTCAACCATTGTCTTCGCGACATTGCACGCGTGAGGCCGGTCCATCTCATGTTTTTTCGTGGGTGTCATTGCCCTATGGATCTACATACCCTCCGAGAAGGTGATTGGAGACGCTTTGATGTAGGCACGGAGGGTCTGTACGTACCTAGCAGGTATGCGGACCCCTAGGGTTGGAACTGCAATGCTCAAGCCTGGAGCCTGTGATCTTTCTCCGCTGTCATCCGACTTCTACAAACCAACCGAGCATCCTCCGGACCGTGGACCAGACCCGCTGGTCTTACTGGGGCCATCAAACCCTCAGGAAGCAGGCACTGCAGCAGCGCTTTCTGGAGGCCGAGCCGCCGAAGCCGAAGCCGAGCCGAAGCCGACTCCTGCTTTCGTCCGTCGGGCACGTGTGGCCGTGTTGGTGGCCGTGTGGCGCTGCCAACGGGCTGAGGCCTTGAGCCAGGGCGATGCCTTGGGTGCACGGCCCATTGAGCTACAGGAGCGATTGGGATGGGATGGACAGAGAGTAGATTTGAGTAGATGACACCAGGCATCACCAAGACTTTTGGAAGTCCAAACATTTCAGCTCAATTTGTGGGTGTTTCTTGAGCTGTTGAAGCACCAACCGACCGGTTTCGCTGCTTCAATGACATCACAAAAAGGTCCAGGCTCAGGAGCCTTGGTCTTCGGGGAAGCGAATGACCTCGTCTGTGAGGCTGCAGATCCGGTGCGCTTCGTTGGTGAGATGTTTGCCTGGCTTTTGGAGCACGTCGCTTGGCGAGCCAGACTGACTACTGTAAGAGGACTGTAGAGCCTTGTCACCCTCATCTCTTGGCGGTCTGATGTTAGGGCTCTTGTTTTGGGGAGTATTGACACTTCAATGATGTTTTCTTTTTTCACTTTGTTAAGTTCCCTGGTTTTTGACAAAAGGATACAACAGGTCAACAGGCAGGATATATGGCAGGATTTGTATTTTGTATGTTCAATATGTTTCTATATACTGTAACAATCCTCTCTATTGCCTACAAGACAGTGTTCAGCGTGTTTGGGCCAAAAAGAGTTTTGATGCTACGTGTATGTTGGGCACTAGATTGCTTTTGTGAGACACTGTATGCTGGGACACAATGAGGTAGTGATCGAGAAGGAAGCGCTGGGCAGCCTTATCAGCAAGGATTCAGCCGCGGCCTCGGAACCTATTCAGCCTGGTCCCAATATCAGTTTAAGGTTTAGAGTCGACATGTTCAAGACTGGGGACACAGTAGATAAAATTAGATAAACATATTCATAGCTATCTCTTTGAGGACCATACTATCTCTAAAAAGTTTCAACGGCTTCTTCAGTGTTGCACACCGCAGGATGCCCAACCGGGTGCTGTCAGGGAGAGATCGTCTTCAATGCCCGAAGAGAGCTCGTTGCTGGGTGAAATTCGGTCGTGATGCCAGTCACAGTATATACATAGATATCAAAGAAAAGCATGATGTCCGGTGTCCGATTCAGCAATACAGTATATATATATATATATACACACCTGACATGATGTTAAATCATAAAGCACCTATCTTGGCACGAAGATGAATCACCTATTTGCAAGCACGCTTCAAGGATGACCATGGTTAGCTTTGACGAGATGTTTGACATTGCTTTGGATGGTGTGGCTGCAACTTTGGTTGCCAAAACCAAGCAATCGCTGCAAGCTAATACCAGCTCGTTGATGCATGGTCCTTCAGCGTCCAGCCCTGCCATAGTCACTGTGTACAAGGTCGCCCAGGTCTTTTCCTTCTATGCGAAGACCTTGGAGGAGTTGCTTCGAAAGGAAGCACAGCTGGTGGTGACATGCGTCGATTTGCATGCTCGCACCTACCAAGAGTTCTTGGACCTTTGGGAGGCGCAAGCGCAGAAACTGCGCCAGGGAGTTGCGTCGGTGTATGTCGCAGCTCTGTCAGCACCCTCGTTTGTGGTGGAGGCTGCCAACACATTGCAAGAGGTGCTCTCCATCTATGAGATGGCACCAGTGCCAGCGGGTGAGCGTGAAGCCGACTTCCTTCCGGTCTTGTCTGCAGCTTTTGACCCCTTGTTGAACCATTGCCAACAGGTTGCATCGATGATGGATAGCACCGATGGCCAGGTGTTCTTGATGAATTGCGTCTCCGTGATGCAAACTCCATTGCGGAAGCATGAGTTTACCAAGCAGCGCCAGGAGATGTACAACGCCTTTGTTCAAGATCAGTTAAGTAAATTTGTGGAAGGACAGGCCAAAGCAGTCTTGTCCAAAGTGGGTCTTTCTGAACGCCTCAAAGCACTTCGAGAGAAGCCTCCGGATCTGCCACTGAGCGGCGTGCCAGAGCTACATCCGGTCTCTCTTGCTGCAACCCTCAGATCATTCTACAACTCCTTATTTACTCTAGGAGGAGCTTTGTCCCTTCCTCTCCTTGAGCGGATTGAGGACAGCAATCTGAGACATCAAGCACGTGGAGGGGTGGCGAAGCTCATTGCTTCCTCCTACGAAGAGTTGTACAATGGGATTGTGGACTTGGGCATCACGACTCACACGCCGGACCAGGCCGGACCGTTCACCGATGTGGCTTGCTGTTCAGCGAACTCTTATCAAGTGCAGTTCAATTTCAATAGTTCTGTTATGTTCTTTTCCTTCGCTTTTCACTGCACTTCGAATCCGATTCGAAGGGACAGAGGGCTCGGATGGCTTCTTCGTGGCCATTGAATTTGGTCGGTCAAGCCTCTGGCAGGTTCGAACCTTGCTTGAAGGAGTCTGAGGACTGATGAGTGAGAGGGCATTCAGAGGGCGGATGAGATGTAAAGAAGCCGCTGCTGCCGGACGCGGTTTTGCCGCTGTGGCATGGGGTTTTGCCGCTGCGGTCTGAGCATGATGCTTGAACTCTGGCCTTTGTGTCTTGTTTTGGTTGGTTGTGTGTGTGTGTGTCGCGGATCAAGTTTCACATGAGAGGTCCATATACTATACATCATTATACATTGAATTCACCAGAGGGCATGTCTGAATTCCCAAGCATGACGGTCGCCCAGGTCAGGATATAGAAAGCTTGCAAGGCATTTGAAAGCTTCATGAGAACCCCCTGGTGGTCGCTGTTGATGGCAAACCCATTTGGTCTTTTGGAGATTTGCAGGTCAAGACCTCCCCATGTTTTTCTTTACAAGTACGAGTAAATGGAGGGTTCCTCCATTTGGCAAATGGTCTGAGTCTGAGTCTTAAATCTTAAACAAAATTTCTCCCAATGTCCCCACTTGTTTTGGAGATCATTTGCAGAGCTTCTTCGCAAGCACAGCGACTTTGGGCCACCATCGACGCCCCAAAGCATGGCAAGCGAGAATCGGCCGATGCCTCAGATGGAGATTGGACGTGGCCCTTCGGGATCCTTCGGGGTGGCCGCGGTGGTGGGCGGTGGTGGGTGAAAGGGACGCCCAATTTCGGAAGGAAGGAAGCCCTAAACCTTCTGAGAAGGTGGGACTGGGGTGGGTTTGGGGAGGTCCAAATACATTCCGAGGAGGTACTTGGAGGTCTAGGGAAGGAAAGAAGTAGCCTTTCAACATCTTTCAACCCCCCAAAATGATCCAGAATGTACAGACTGGACACCCCCAGCTGGGGTGGAGTTCTAATCGGTAAGATTTGCCTTCACCGTGTGTTTTTATGTGTGAGACTTATGAATTAATGGTCAGTGTCGGGCAATGATGTGATATGACCGTGCATGCCTTTTGAACTTTTGATGTCAGCCACAGGTCAGTGGTGCTGGAAGAGCATGTGGATTCGGACGGGCGCCCCTTGTTTTTTTCGGGCAGACAAAGTGTTCAGCCTCCGTCAATAAGAGTGGTGTTCTTTGTATCCAACATGTGAGAACCACTGAGGCAGGCATGCGGCATGCAAGGGAGTATTTTTTGAACAAGAATCGTCTCCTCGTATGACATGGGACAAGTAAAAACAAAAATAAAAACAATCAACTCGAGGACTCAAGGAAGGAAGAAAACAAAGGAAGGAAAGAAGGAAGGAAGGAAACAGCCCTTCCAGTGTAGCATAACTTTGGTGAGCGACCCGAGGGTAAAATTTCGAGAGGGGAGAAACCATTCCAACGTAGCACACTTTTCTGAGCCAATCGAGGACAAAATCTGAAGCAGGAAAGAACCATTGCAACGTAGCACACCTTTTATTAGCCACCCGAGGGTACAATTTTGTGGGCCAAGCAAAGCCAACCCATGCCTTGAAATGATGCAGCGCATTGCTGGGAGCAATTTCTATTACTTTATTATGTCTAAGTGTTTGAAGAGATTACCTTGCATCCTACATTGGAGCAGATTGTTTTTTACTACGTTGGAGTGGTTGGAGAAAAACGCAACTCCAACGTAGCATACCTTTGGTGAGCCACCTGAGGGTAACAATTTAGAGAAGGAAGGAGCCATTCCAGCACAGCCGGGGGTAGAATTTTGTTGATCCTAGATGCTTGTTGATTTCTTTTTGTTTATTTTGTGTTTTTTGTGATCCTTTAAACTTTCTTTTTTGATCCCTCACTCCATCATGACTCATGACAGACTAGCACAATTGAAATACCGCTGAGCAAACAATATTGGATACACATCGATCTTCCAAAATGTCCCCTTGTGACTCAGCTCAAGATCCCACTACGATTTCACCAGAGTCACAACAGGAGTATGAGCCGACAGAGCAGGAGATTCTGGATTATGCCGAGTGGTGCGCCACTTTTGGACAGAAAGAGAAAGGGTTTTTGTTGAAGTGGACCGGATGAGGACGGATGTGTGGGCGCCGCTTCGACGAATGAAGACGAAGACCCGCGGTACCCACACACGTGGTTGGTCACTCCGCCAACCGTTGAACTCCGGAAAAACCGAAGCGAATTCTTCCAGTTCCACAGGCGGCAGTCCTGAAAAGAGAGGGTCCTACTACTAGTCTACACTGTAGTATATGGTCCTACTACTTGCAGTAGGTGCTACATACGAAGCTAGGCCTGCTGAACCCGAAGCGGATTCCGACTTCGCTGCCGACGACTTCGCGAGGCTTGGAATGGATGCTGAAAGTGACCAAGAGTTGATGTGGATCGCAAGAGCTGGCCTCAAGGCGAAGAAAGCACGCGCTTGGCGTTGGGGGGGCAGCCGGACTGGAGGTTGTTTTTTTTGTACGTGTTTGTTACAACTGTTAGAGGGAACCCCTGGTATGATCTGGTATGCCTAGCGCTGCAGTCGTCGAAAAGCTGCGTTGGGTCTGAGCGACCTGATCCAAAGTCTGAGTGACCTGATCTCCTCCACATTTGCCAGCTAGCCAGCGGTCGGTTTCTGGACCAGCTCTCTTCCAACTTGGAGATGCGCCCCCACTGCGGTCGGTTTCTGCCTACCAACATGTTTGAACCACTTGGAAAGGGATCTCAAGCTGGCCCCACATTGGTCGGAGACTAGTGACTAAAGGATCTCCAACCGTCTCTTATTGGCTTCCAACGGGTCCAACGACGTTGCCGGTTTCTGCTTAAAATGAGGTGCCGTTGCCGGCACCCTGGAAGCCTTGCACCACTGGGGAGGAGAGGGCGAGAGAGCTATGGGAAGATCATTGGAAGCCCCAGCCCGGATGTTCTCATGGCGGTGGTTCAAAAAAGTCCAAAACGTGAGAAGGGGTGCCTCCCGTGTCAAGGGAATAGACCTCCCATGTTATAGCGAGTTTAGCACACGAACAGGGCTTCACAGGGGAAAACGAAGACTTTGTGGGAGCCTTGGAAAATCCACAGGCACAGTGCGTTCTGTCGGTTTGAAGCCATGTTCGAATGAGTTGTAGCAGGCAACTGACAAAGTCCTACCTCAAAACCATGAAATTAGTAGAAATCCATGGGGCACTCCTGTTTGAGCAGTTTCACTGATCTTTTGGCCAACTCGTTTTGTGGTGACCAATTCTGTTCACCAGGAGAACGAGGTCTTCTACTTCAACTTTGAAACGGGCGAGAGCGTCCCTTGCTCAAGCAGCCCGTTCTGCGGTCGGTTCTCATGACTCGGAGTGGTTCGCCGAGGTGTGGGATCATCCGTGCGATGAGTTTCACCGTTTGCTCTACAAGAGGGAAAGAGCCAAGAAGTCGGGTGCCCCGTTTGGAGGTCTTGAAACAACACAAGAGACACAGCAGCAGAAGCAAAGGGAGTTAGGTCCCCAATTGTTCATCAAAAGGGTACTAAGATGTGTTCTTCTTAGGCGTTTAAATGTCCCCTGTCGCAAGATTGACCTCGAGAAGCTGCTGGGCTCAAGATGCCAGACAGGAAACAATGCAAACCATGTTCAGCAACCCTGTCAGGCTTGCGTTGAACAGTACATTCTCAATCAAAAATATATACGTAGTATGAAAATGTATGAAATAAATGTGTTGTTTGGAACCCAATTGGGGGGGACCAGGTATTGCCAAAAGAAAACATATAACTATATAACTATATAACTGTATATATATATATATAGATTACTAACAACACAGCTGGGAAGATCAGCGTTCACTCCCGTGTAAACTGAACGACATCCTCGAGCTCGACCCAAAAAGAATCCCTTGACTCTTGTGGACGGTCAAGTCATGTCAAGTCGGCTGCACGAAAGGCTAGGATCTGTGAGACAGCTCCCTGTAGCCCGGACAGCTCCCTGTAGCCCGGCATCAGCTGGCAGTGGGGACGGAGAAGTTGCATCTGGAGCACTGCTCAGCCAAAGTTGCCATGGCAGTGAATGCAGAGGCGATAGACATGGACGGTCAAGGCAGTTGGTGTTGGGGTCTTGGTAGAGTTGCTGTGAATTCATACAGGCCACTGGAAGGTATCTATCACGAAAGTCATTCAATCAATAGCGATTTCTCTCCGAAAAGCAGCTTCACACACCACAGTGTACCAACGAATTGCTGTGCCCATGACTCGATGGTGAGTACCCAGCCCGCTCAAGATCCCTTCCTGCTTCCCCTGTTTCAGGACCCTTCTGCAAAATGGGCTGCCGGAGACCCTGCGTTGCGGCCTCAGGATGGCCTTCGATGCTCAGTGTGGCCGCGTTGGCGAGGTTTCCCCCGGCCAATCCCCCAGAGGGCCAATCAGACCATCAGGTGGTCATCACAGTGGTCTTGATATGTTTTGGTCATGTTTGCCTCACCGTTGGTGATCGCAGAGTCCTAAATCAGGCCAAGGGTGGCTACGACACCTGCTGCCGCGACTGCGTGAAAAGTGGCGCTCGAGCCCATAGTAGCAACTGCTGCGCGCCCTCGGCCGCTTCTTGGGAGCGGTGCCCCTTGACCGAGTCGGTGACGGCTGTTGCAGCTCTTCGGGTCTCAAAGTGGGGGGCCGGAGCCGAGTCGGAACCCATTTTGGGGAACCCCCGAGATGCCCCGAGAATGACCGTAAACGTCTTTGAGCAAGCTTGTTTGGTAGGTGTTATCTTCCCAAAATGAATGGTTGGTTGGGTAGGGACATTTTGGGATTTGAAACATATAGGGGTAACTCCTGATCTTGATGCCATTTTGGCTCAAGATCAGGGCAGGGATTTGTTTTTCCGGGCCCCGCTATGCCTCGGATCACCCGATCGACTGCGGCGGTTTGGAACCCCGGGTCGAGAAGGTGGCGGAGGGCTCACCGCGGCGTGGACCCGGCGACGATTTCTGCCGAAGATCGAAGGGCTGACCTTGGTGCGCGGTCAGCCTATATCCTGGCTATTTGGGATACAGTGGAGCGCCGCCCGGATTTGGAGGCAGACTTCTGCCGGTGTTGTGGGGTATTTACAGCTTCTTGGTGCGAGGGCTGCTACTTCCGCCTACCGGAGAGCTTCGGAGCGGTGTGCGCGGAGTGTGATCACCTGCACTTGGTCTGTGACCGGTGCAGGTTTGATCACATTTCTTGGGAGCAAGGCCATGCCGCGTACATCGAACAAGGGGGGCCAAGACACCGAGGACCAGGTCCAGATCACCGGTTGGGGTGACCGGACCAATCCACCCCATTTCGAAGCTGCCTCCAGCCAGGTCTCCATTGAGGAGGTCGCGCAGATCCTCGGAATCTCAGCCCAGCAGGCCAGAGACCTCCTCAAAGAGCAGCTGTCCGGTACCACCCAAGCAGCCTCCAGTGGATCCTCTGCGACCGGCCCTCCCTAGGCAGCCCATGCCACCACCAGGACCTCCTCCACTGCGGCTGAGGAGGCCACGGTCGCCCTCTGTGTCGCCAGGGCGTGGCCGTACTCCGGTTGTGACTGTGCGCCAGCCGGACCAGGCCATGGAGGCTGATTTGCTGGAGTTGGTGGCCGAGCGCTCGGATGAGTTGGTGCAGCTGTTTTGCCACCTGGGCGTCCAGACCTGCCAGGACGTGGTTGGCATTTGGTCCCATGGCGGCGAGTTGGTGGCAGAGCTTGAACGCATCCAAGGCCCCCTGGACGCCGAAGAAGCATTCCAGGTTAGCGCCTTGTGGAGCATTGCTGCTCGCCGGGCCTATAATCACAACTGGCGCGTTGCCAGAGCGGTGATCGGGAACCGTGCCTCGGTCGTGGAGACCACGTCCATGGTGGTTGCACCCAAGGGCACAGGCCCTAAGGGACACGTGAGGCAGCTGCTGGAGACTGGGTTCCCAGGGCGGCCACCAATGTTGCTGGCAGCTGCAACTGCTGATCCCCATACCAAAGCTGAGGCCAAAAGGGCTACCAAGATTCAGGCCCTCTTTGATTTGTTACTGAGTGAGTTCCTCAACCTGGCCGAGTTGGGGGTGACCTGGGAAGAGTTGGGCGACCCCGTCCGTTTGCAGCAGTTCAAGGACCAGATTATGCAGTCCACCGGCCGACTCACTGAGGCGAGGATTGGTGCCCTCCTGGCGGCTCTGCGGCGCTGGCAGCGGTATGCCTCTGAGAAGGCTTTCCCCGTTGCTCAGCCAACTCCGCTCCAGTTGGGCGAATTCTTTCGTGCAGTGGCCCAGGGTGGGCCCACAGCCGCATCCTCCATGTTTCAGGCATTGAAGTGGTTTCGGGTTACCTTTGGCCTCAACTTCAATACAGACCATTGGCTTACCCAACCCTTCAGGCTGCTCCCACCGGATCATCGGGTACAGCAGAGGACCGAACTACAACCCTGGGAGCTGGTGAACCTGTTATTGATGATGAAGAAAGCGTCCGGCACACATTTGCTGATTTTGACATTTTTTGTCTGGGCAGCTATTTCATGTGTACGCTTTGAACATTTTCAACGGTCGCATTACATGGAGAGCCATCCTCAATGCCTGGTTTTTGAATGCTCCCAAGGCAAAGCCCGACGGCGTGGCGCGCGGCCTCCGTATTCGTGGGCTATGCCAGAATTGGAGTTTCAAGGGCTCAGCATCCATCGTATTGTCCGGGACTTCGTGACCATGGAGTTGAACCCCCAGCTGAACTTCCTGTGGCCGGCCCTCCAGCTTAGCTCAGATGATCTCTGGGAGGTCACTGAAGGCACGGCATGGCTGGTAAACAGGAAGATGTCGCGGGGCCGTTTCCTGGAACTCCTGCGGGGCGCCCTCATCACCATGCAGGTGGATCACGCCCAGGCCCGGGGGGCTGGTTACAACAGGCTGCGCCGGTTCTTGCCAACTATGGGTATGGTATGTGGCTTGCAGCCCTCCAACCAACAGGCCATTGGCAACTGGCAGGAGGTTCCCAGTGCAGGAGGTCCTGAACCCGTTCGCAAGAGCAAAGCAGTATGGTCGATGGGCCTTCACTATGCCGGGCAGAAGGTCTTGCATTCGGCAGCCGTCAAGCGAGCGTTGATTCAGCGGTTTCTCCATCTACTGAGGCGCAAGCTCCCCGAACTGGCCCTCAATGCTGATGGTCTCGTGGCCCGTGACGCCTGGACCTGGCCTGAGCTCGCTCAGATGAACGAAAGTTTTGGGCCCTTGGAGGCGGCGCTGATGACGCCTGAGGTCCAACCTCCTCCAGAGACACCGCCGGTGACGGCGCCTGAGGCCCCCCCTCCTGCAGACACACTGCCTGAGGAGGCCTCGGGAAGTGCCTTGCCTGTGGCAGGCCCCAAGGAGGAGATCCCGGCTGAGGAGGCTGACCAGATCACCCCGCCGGAGGAGGCTGCCGATCCAGAGGCCCAGTCCGCATCGTCTTCGACTACTTCATCGTCCGCGTCGGACTGTTCGGCCATGGGCAGTGACTTGGAAGGCGTCCTGGCAGAGGAGGCGGCTATCACAGAAGCCAAATGGTTCGTCCAAAGCCGCCGAGTTCACATCGTCAGTGGAGTGCTGGATGAGCGCCAACTGCCCTACTGCCGGGATTCGCCCTTCGCCCAAGATCCCAAGAGCCAGGGAGAGGGCTTTGGATTGGTTGTCCGAAGCCAATTCTGCCAGCGGTGCCTGGCACGCATGCCACGAGGCCTCTATGCCTCCTTGGCTGACCAGTGCGGATGGTTGCACTGAGTGTATAAAAAGCTGAGGGACCAGAGGTGCCGTGGGGTGCGGGGGCGGGGGGTCGACGTGCGTCTACATGGGGGTCGAGTTTGATTTTGCTCACCGACCTTTTTCCGACGTCGTGTTCCCGGTCGACCTTTCTGATTGTTGTGCCCCCACCCCTGTTTCCCCCCTCGGGGTAGGCTTGGAGGGGCACCTTTTGGTCTGTGACCTGGCTTGGCCTCCTCCGGGGTGCCACCAGAATGGGGTGGGTATCGAGGTGTGTTCGGCCGCTCCGACGGGCAGGGTGGTAGGTCTGGGACCTCCACCTGTGGTGTTCGCTACGTCGCAACCCAGCTCAGGGCTCAGAGGGTCGTAGCTAGAGTACTCACGCGATTCGATTGCGGTACCCCTACGGCCATGAGCGGTTCGAGGCGCATCGATACCTATCAGGATGACAGGGGACTGACGACATGCTTCGCTGGAGCCAACATCCTGGAGGAGTGGAAGAGTGAGTTGGTTCATGCCCACAAGTGGGAAACGTTGGAAGATTTTGTCTACTACTTCAACGAGACCGCCATGGAAACGTCATTGGATCAAGTCCTCCAGCCGACCAAGATGAAAGACAACCGGTTGTTGCGAGCCAGGCTGAAAGCGGCCCACGCAGCCGGCCTTGAGGCCATTCGCGCAGCCGCTGCGGAGGCAAAGCAGCCGGAAGCTGTGGATGAGACACTCCCAGAATCCACCATGCAACAACTTCACAAGGACTTTGCCACCAAATACGGTGTGGTGTTGGATGCGTTCTTGGAACCATCCGACGCCCTTCGGTCCCGTATTTACAGGGAATTCCGCAAAAGGACAATGTCAGTCATCAGTGTGGCCAAGGTCCGATCCATCCTCCACCAGTCGGCGCCCAAGCAACAGGAATCAGTCCGCCTGGGCGCGGGCGTCCAGCTTGAGTTTGCAGCCGACGATCATCGTATTGTGCGAACCGTGGTGGAGTACTATTTCTCCCTACGTACTTTGGCTTATGCCTGGGCGTGGGGAGGTTTGTACAAGGTATCTGACTTCGATGGCAATGAGAAAGTCTTCATGCCCCTGGCCCCAGCGATGTCTTATGCGGATCAAGCCCTGGAGTTCGGGCAGGGTAGCCTGATTTGGCTGGAGCGCAATGATATCAACACACGCTCCAAGATGGCTTCCCTCATCCGCCGTGGCTACACAGGTGCGTCCGCCTTGGAGGAGGCCTTGCGCCAGACCCATATTGACTGGCGCGCCCCGGGAGTTCAGCCCACCTTGCCTGAGGCAGGTGCCTCCCCGAAGCGCCGCTTGGCGGAGAATGATCAGCCGCAAGAGAAAGGCCCAGCAAAGGAGAGGCGCCTGGTCAAGACGGACAAATGGCCTACTATCTCTATGTTGAAAGGGGGTCAGAAGATTTGCAAGCCTTTCAATGACGGGCGTGGCTGTACCAAGGCGGGCTGCAAGGACCTTCATCAGTGTGATGTCAAGTTGAGCTCCGGGAAAGCCTGCCTGGCCAGTCACACCCGGCTCCAGCATGAATAGGGACAACGCCCCCCGAGGGTCGGGGAACCCCGGGGGGGGCCCAGATGAGGTGGCCTTGCGCGCGCAGCTTCCGGCCAGTTCGACATCTTCTGAGGCCCACCGCCGTGTGATCCTGCGACCTGATGGTCACTCTGGCCATGTGACTATGGCTGACCGCCTGTATGCAGCGAAGCCTGTCACTTGGAGGGGCCAAGGGGATTTGCCGCAGTTTCCCTGGGCAAAGCCCTTCAAGGGTACTTGGCTGGTTGTGGACCTTTGGTCAGGTATTGGCGGGCTTTTGGTCGCTTTGCTGGCTATGGGAGTTCACTTCTATGCAGTGGCTGCTGAGATGGATGATGAGGCCGCCCATTGTACTCAAGTGGTCATGCCCCACGTTGTTCCTGTCACCCGGGTGGAGGACCTACGTGCCGTGGATTTCATCCCTATGCTGGTCCGCCGAGCTTTTCGGGGGGTCCTCCTGGGTGGGGGCTCCCCGTGCCAGGGCAATTCAGCCTTGAACAGGCGCCGCAAGGGACTTGATGACACACGATCTCAACAACCGCTTGAACTTCGGCGGCTTGTATCAGAGTTTGAACAGCTCCCAGCTTGTCAGGGCATGGAGATTGTCGCTTTCCTTGAGAATGTGGCCAGTATGCCCAAGCAGGTCCAACAGGCCTATGAGAACTGGTTGGCGGGGCCCCCCATCCTACTGGACGGAGGTTCCTGTGGATGGGTGTCGCGTCGACGGTTTTTCTGGCTCCGCTCCCGGCGAGGCGTGGTCAGTCCGGCCAACCCACCTCCGGAGTCGTGGCAATGGTGCACAACTACATCTGGAGTGGCGGAACTGCGGTATGCGGGAAAGAAGCCCCTGCCACCGCAAGTGTTTTGGGACGACCATTTCCTACCTCTGCTCTCCCCTCAGGCAGTGTTACAGCAGGCTGGCAAGGGCGCGATGCACACATTCACTCGGGAATTTTACCATCCGGAGGACCGGGTCCCCGAGGTTAGTCCTGCAGCAGCCGAACGTTTCTATGCTGACCAGCGCCGTTTCCTTCCGGGGGCCTATGAAGAGCACTCACTTTTGTGGCACGGGAAGCAATGGCGCCAACCATCTCCTGCTGAGCGCTGCCAGATGATGTGCTTGCCGCCAGCACTGGTAGCTCCTGCTCGGGGAAATCAGGTCAAGCGCACCCAGGCACAGAACTCATTCATTGGTAATGGCTTCCATATTCCTTGTGTGGTGGCGCTCATGGCTATGCTACCTATTATTTTGGAGGCCAAATTTGTACCTTCGTTCACCTCCGCGGAAGAAGCAGCATTGAGGGATAGGTTGCAGCACACGGTCTGGGAACCAGGGCGCCTGGACGCTATGCCCGGTCTGTTGACCGCTACCGAGGTATGCCTCGATCTGCGGATCCAATTCGCGTTTGCGGACATACCAGACAGTACTTGGCACCAGGTCCTTGCTCGGTTGCAGGCCTGTGACCTGGCGAGTCTGCAAGCGTATCCTATGTGGAGGCGGCTTCGGCAAGAACCGTGGGAAGTGCTGGGACCGGTCCCCATTTGGGGGCGCATGCGAACAGCTATCTTCGCTGGGCTTACTGGCCAACGCTACCCAAGCTCCTCGGCCAAGGGCTTGGACCATCTCTTGCCCCCGGGGTTGGGCAAGGATGAACATGTGGCACAGGCCAGGCAACTCCCGTCACCTTTCCATCCGTCTGACTGGCCTGAACCTGATGTATCCTTTGTGGTCCAGGCACTGGGTGTCTGGCAGCAGTTTCTCCCAGTGTACAGCCAAAGGCTGAGGCGCACTTTGAAGGCTGTGGAAAAAGCTGTGCAACTCCTGAACCCGTGTCTTGCGGCCGTAAGGTCTACTAGTTCCAACAAAGTAGCGCATACTAAACAGCCTGCTTTTGTTGCAACCATGGCATGCCTTCTGCGATGGCCGGACCGTGATATGGCCCGCCAACTTGTCCAGGGGTTCGCTATTGTTGGGTCCCTTCCGCCGTCCGGGGTGTTCCGAGGTATTCAACAAGCGGACAAACTCCCTTTGGCTGATTGGCTGGGTCCATCAGCTGAAGAGGAAGTCCAGCGGTTGATCCGTAGTCGACCCCCCCTGCATGCTCCAGAAATTTTGGCAGTTACTCAGGATGAGATCCTCAAGGGTTTTTGCAGCCCACTACGAACCACGCAGGAGATGAACGATCTATTTGGTGTGGGTGGTTGGCGCGCTGTGGAACGTTTCCTTATTATTCAACCTGATGGTAAACAAAGGGTCATTGATAATGCCCGAAAGAGTGGCCACAACCGTCATACATCCATGCAAGAAACCATTTCGACCGTTAATGTTGACTTTGTTGCATCCGTAGCGCGCATGGTTAATACCGTTTTGGAGACCCATCGGTCCGACCCTCCTGATTGGCTTGATTTACGGTTGGGCACGGATGACCTGCCCGATGCCTATCGAGGCCTGCCGGTCCAAGATGACCATTTGCGGTTTTCCAATGTGGCCATTTTCGTCCCCGACGAAGGCTGGCGGTTTACCACCATGTATGGACTCGCCTACGGGTTAGAGAGTGCGGTGGTGAGCTTCAACCGGTTCCCCCAGTTGGGTATCGCGATTGCAAGACGCTGTACCCTCTCTTTTTGTGCTGCATACTTTGATGATGAACTTGCGGTTGATTTTGTTCACCATGCGGATGTCTCGCAGCGCGGACTCCAACTTGTGTTCCAACTCATGGGAGCACCACCGCAAGCATCCAAATCTTTCGCACCTGGACGTAACCGTCATTACCTTGGTACTTCAGTACACGTTGGCGACTTTGTGTCTATGGGAGCGATCAGATTTCAACCCAAGTTCACCACTCAGAGGAAGGTTTTAGCTAAAATTCACTTGGCGCTGGCTACCAACAGTCTGTCGCCGGACGACGCTGGAAAGCTCAGAGGGGACCTCAACTGGATGTTTAGCATGTGTGCCGGTCAGGCAGGTCGGATCGCTGGACCCACACTCACTGCGTTGCAGCATGCTGACTCCCCTACTCTCTCCCCTGAGGAGTCCGTTACCTTTCAGCTCTTAGCAGCGTTGGTGACCTGCCCAGGGCCTCGAGATGTAGCTGTGCGGGCTCTCCCTCCCCAACCAGTCCTTGTGTACTCGGATGCGTCCTTTGAGCATGGGGTCCTCCGCGTCGGCTGGGTTGTCTTCGGTCAGTCGTCTCGCCCCCAGGGACTGACATGTGTCGTCCCGCGCGAGGTGATTGAGTCCTGGACCGACCGTACACAACAAATTTACCCTGGTGAGACACTGTGTGGGCTCTTGGTACCATGGTTTCATGGAGCAACCTTACACCACCAGGATCTCCTATGGTTCATCGATAATGAAGCAGCTGTTGCTTCCCTCATTCGAGGATCCAGCTCCCAGATCGATGTCCATACGCTCGTCCAGGTCGCGCATTTCTTGTTCCAAAGATTTCAAATTCGTGTTTGGATCGAATGGATTGACTCTGAGAGCAACCCTTCTGATGGTCTATCACGAGATGGGGTTAGTGATTCTTGGACGAGGTCACAACCCTGGGATGTGTCAGAGGTTAGCTACCCGGATCCCCTCCGGTCCGTGTGTCACCCTGCACACCTTTCACGTTCTTTAGAGTACATGGACAGTGGGTGATTGATACAGTGGGTGGTATGTTAAGTTCATCTAAGATGACTTTCCAAGCTGGTCCGT